GGTAATAAGGATAAACTAATATAAATATCTTTAATTTAAAATAAATATGTTTATGCCTCAAATTTAAACTGCCGGCTGATTTTTTCATCTGCAAGATATAAGCATGGAGATAACTGTTTCATGAGTGAACAATATATATATAAATGAAATATAAATTTAAGATCAAAGATTAGCTATTCAAGATGGGGGTAAATGACATTTAAGACAGTAAATTACAGTAACTCAGTGTTCAGCTTGGGGCAAACATGCATCAAAATGTTGTTTTTTTAGAATACTCCATAACATTTTCATTAAGAAGAATGTATGTCTGTAATTATGTAATTTGTCGGATTTGTAAAGTGCTTTAAAAAGTTCTTAAATTTGACTAAAAGTATATGAACCCAGCCAATCAAATGACGCATGACTGCAGCAATCAGCCAATCACATGAGTTAGAGTCATTTCCCACTAGCGAGTCAGCACAATTCACTTCTCTGTTCAAGATTAGGAGATATCATTATGAGAAATATCATGCATGTAAAGACACTTTTCTCACAGCTCACTGGATCAAAGCTGAACTTACCTGCATAAAAACCCCCAGACCAGCTTTGTGTAACAGGCCTCTTGCAGACAGTGTGCTACAGGCAGGCACCCAATGATGCTTTTGTATTAATTTAGTCATTTATTGCAAACCATTGCGATATGTTCATAAATGAGTACACACTCTCTTAAAAATGAACATAAATTGTCATTAGAAACAGTAATATTGGGAACATTAAACAAAACTGATTTATTAAACAGTTATTTTCGTCACAATTTAATATTTAGATTTTTCCTGTTGAGTAAAATTGTATGTAATATTTTTCATGATCATTTTTGTGTGTACTAATTTTGAGACTGTGGTCTATTTTTGATAGATTAACTCCAGTTTTGTCTTTGGTTATGATTACTCTAATATTCAGTATATGCACAAATATATTATTTGTATAGCAGTGTCATAGAGACATGGGGGTTGGTTCATTTGACTTAGACAGCCAACCACATTCAAGTTCACTCTGTAACCTCGCCCATAGCAACAAAACAGAGTACCCTAGCAACCGTTCATCAACAGCTATATCTCAGTATCAGAACATCGTAGAGACTTGGGGATTGGCTCGTTTGACGCATTCTGTAGAACAGTGGTTTCCAACCTTTTTTTGCCTGAGACCCCCTTTTCCCTTGGAAAATATTGTTGGACCCCCCTCAACATTTAATGATTTTATCGCTCATATAAGTTTGTAAGTAGCAGAAATAAATGTGGGAAAATAAAAATAAAAAATATGAATTACAAACTATGTAAAACTGCTGATTTACAGATACGTGTGCACTGGAATAATGGCAGTGTTTCTGCTCTTAGCTCTGGTGTTCCTCAAGGTTCAGTTGTGGCTCCTGTGCTGTTTTCACTGTACATGCTTCCATTAGGGTCATTGTTTAGGAAACATCAAGTGTTCGTTAATTTGTATGCTGATGACTCTCAAGTCTATTTACCTTTAAAACACAATCTCATGAATTGGAAACATTGCCTGCATGTTTACCAGAAGCGAGATCGTGGAGGTCTGTACATGTTTTTGTTTTAAATGAGCAAAAATGTTAATTATTTACATAATAAGCGAGCTTTAATATCTAAGAAAAGAAAAGAACTTGATCTTATTTGATTATTTACTGTTTATTTTTTACCTTAGAAATGTAGTAAACAAAATAATTCCACTGTATGTCACATTTCACAGTTTAATGTGGACAGTCAGACATTATTAGTAGTATCATCATCATCATATTATTATTATTATAAACATTTATCAAGTAACGTCTTCTCACAGTGTCTCAAATTTATCTCAATAACAGGAAAATAAAACTTTAATGTGAAAATATGAATATGTAAATGCTTAAAGGAAATATCAAACTGTTTTTCCCTTAAAAATCCAAAATATACAGAGCTGTATTTCTTGTGTAAATAGTAAAGCTAGGTGGTTACTCTTGTGTTTTCCAGCCTCACGCATGCCGCAGTGATTTGGCCAGGGCCACTTATTTATATTTCACAGGTATACATGGAATATACAACAATTATGGTACAGATTTCATTCCATGGTAACATTATATTCCAACATCATACGAGCTGTGTGTGATGAAATAAAAGAGGAATAATAATCACGTCTCTCCAGCTGATGTGTGTTCAGTGCTGCAGCAGCCTGTATGTGCTTATCTCTGTGTGTCTGTGTGTGTGTGTGTGTGTGTGTGTGTGTGTGTGTGTGTGTGTGTGTGTGTGTGTGTGTGTGTGTGCGTGTGCGTGTGCGTGCGCGTGCGTGTGCGTGTGCGTGCGTGTGCGTGTGCGTGTGTGTGTGCGTGTGTGTGTGTGTGTCTGTCTGTCTGTCTGTCTGTCTGTCTGTCTGTCTGTGTGTCTGTGTGTGTGTGTGTGTGTGTGTGTGTGTGTTGTGTGTTGTGTGTTGGTTTGATCTTCTGGTTCTCTGTTCTGTTCAGGGGTTGGTGCTGAAACTCAAGTGTGCCAAGAAGAATCATGAACCTTCATCAGGTGCTCACGGGCGCCGTCAACCCTGGAGACAACTGCTTCTCTGTGGGACGCATACACAACCAGCCCTTCACGGTGAACAGCACCAGTACACACTCACTCCTGTTTGTCTGTCTGTCTGTCTGTTTGTTTGTGTGTTTGTGTGATCACTGATCTTGTTTCACTGTGTGTGTGTGTGTGTGTGTCAGGCGTACGCCTCTGGCTGTGACATCGTGATTCTGGGCAGTGACTTTGAAAGGATTCAGATCATCCCAGGAGCCAATCATGGCAACGTTCAGGTGGGCTGCGTGGACTGTTCACCACAGGGCGGACAGGTAAGTCACACACACACATATATACACGCTTGCACAGTAACACTAAAACATGCTCAAATTCACAC